CATATTGTCCAGTGCTTGTGGTCATAATGCCGCCAGCTGCTGTATTCTTGGCAGTCAGATGGCTGTGGTATTTTATTTCTGCAGAAGGAAGTAAGTGGGAGCTGCAGAAAATGAGTGTGTAGTATTAAGGTGTTTAAAAAATATACATTTATCCATTTCTTGATTAACATTTTTTTTTAAATGTGGAAAAAAAGATCTTCTGAAATTACTGTTGGAAGTTTAGATAATTTTCTGCTGAGAGCCACCAGATTGTTCTTTAAAAAGATTATTTCTGGCTTAAAGAACCTGAATTCACTGCCCCAAATCTATATTTTAAAAAGCCAGGCATAGTGGCACACACTTAGAATTATAGCACTGGGGAGGTGTACGCAGGTGGGTCCCTGGGACTTACTGGCCGGATACCCTATGTCTGTTTGGCAAGTTCTAGGCCATTGAGGGGCCCCTGTCTATAAACAAACAAATATTTGGACCGTACTTGGGGAACAACACCCAGTGCTATCCTCTGGCCTTCATGTGTGCGTGTGCACGCACATAGACACACCCTTAAAAAGGTTATTGATTATATTCTGTAGGGTTGAAAGATTTCCCAGCAATTGAGATGTATTTAATATTCATGCTCTAAACCTATTTGGTTATTAACGTTAGTCGTTTGGGCCACTTTATTTAAAGCAGAATAAAGCAGAAAGATCTGTATTGCTCCTAGAGGAAGAGGAAAAGGCTTCTGTAACACTTGGTCTAAGTTACTGGGCACAGCAATCCTTAAAACAGGTCACACTTTTAAAAAGGTATGGGCCTGGCAGCCAGATCAAGGCGGTCAGTATGCTATGAGCCGGTATATTCATTACTTTTCTGTCGTGATAAAACACCATGACCAAGGCCACTTAGAGAAAAAAGAGTTTATTTGTCTTACAGTTCCAGGAGTTAGGGTCCATAATGGCAGGGGAGGTGTGGCAGAGGGAAATGGCCAGAGCAGAGAGACAAGCCATCACATCTTCCAGCAGGCACAAGAAGCAGAGAGAGGCTAGAAATCTGGCAAGGCTTAAGAATTCTCAAAGCCTATCCCCAGTGACCTGCTTCCTCCAGCAAGGCCACACCTCCTAACCCCTCCCAAAACAGCACCACCAACTGGAGACAAAATGTCCAAATACTTGGAGCCTATGGGAGAAATTTTCATTCAAACCACCACAGCCAGTGAGGGGAGACTGCTGCCCTTTTTCAGAGCACCTCTTTAAAGTGGCAAAGCAGCACCCAGGACAATGTCCAGCAACAGCTAGCCTCTAACTCTGCAGAAGATGACTGTCAGCATTCAGGCAGACACATCTTCTCCCTGAATAGGTCTGTTCTCAAACATCTGTATGGTGACAACAGGTTTAGAATATTTGGAAAATGATAAGTCATAAGACTGAAAGTATGATCCAAATTGTCCTTGCCTGCTGTATGTGTCCCCGGAGCTGTGAACATGCTTGGGTGGCTTTCCTTTCATTGTTCTGTGCTTGTACCCTGTGTGAGCAGTCAGAAAACAAAGGCTCTGTTGAGTTACATACATGCAAAAGTGGGGCAGAGTGAGTGCCGGTCTTCTGGAAAGGCTATTTTTTCACTTTGGGATAACTCCAGTAACCAAATAGAGTTTTTCTGATGCATTTGCCAAATAAAAGAGCTGATGTTGAGAACGTGCATGAAGTGTTTTAGGCTACAAAAAGCAATTTTTGAAGCCAAAGATAAAAGTTGTGTCTGAACTTTCCCTAAGGAGCCATGTCACTTCCTTATTAAAACATAAACATCTCACCATGCACCAGCAATATGAATCAACATGAAATGTGAAAAATCCCCAGGCCCCCAGATGTCCCTGTGGCCCCCACTGGTTCACAGTCTACTGCCATCTCCTTTATTTTTTTTCCCATTTTTTTGCAGCCTGTTCACAGTGAGAGGAATCAAAGCACTACAAATGAAATCGTATCTGGAGTCTGTCTTAGGTGCAAATTCAAGCCAAACCTAGGGCAGAAAGGAGAGTGGTACCTTGTTACATTTTGATTTATGCCGTTTCTTAATTCTTTAGTTTGTTTGTTTGTAACTTGCATCTTTCCCCTTCCTCCTCCAATCCAGTCTTTTACTTTGAACAGTTTGTTTGAAATGTAGACAATTTCTTAGATTTCTTAGTGGAAAAGAGTATAGTATAGGGTCATCCATTTTATGGTAGGTAAATGTCTTGATCATTCTTCTTATCAAAACACAGTACCCGAAAGAGGAATGAACAGTGATCCACTAGTCACTCAACACTATAGCTACCCCCCACAGCCCCACTCAGGACCTGGAATCCTCATTAGGGTCTGCATGCCAGTGTCAGGATCAGGTTGATGAGAGAAGCGGATACCGTGTGGGAGCAAGTTTTTCTCTAGTTGGTCGTAGCACAGAAGAGGGTGTAGAGGGAGATCTGAAAACCAGTGCTTTAACACTGCACACACCTGAAAAAGGCCTAGAGTTGAGTAGACATTAGCCACAGAAAAGAAATGACTAGTGATGGTGGGAGGAACATAGAGACGGTATGCCTGTGTTTGTCCTAGTCCACACTTCTCAGAGCTTCATCCTCGGTAAGTTCTCTCATCATTTATGAGGTTGATGACTGTGTGACCTAATCTCAGCCCCTCTAATCCCATCCCTGTTTCTGTAATTTAGAAAGCACATAAACCTTGTACAGGTGGTATTGTTGTTAGTAAAGTACTCACAAATTCTGGCACCTTATTAGTAGCCAACAACTTTATAACAGTTCTAGATCTGCCACAGTTCAGAATCCCTGCCTTTGGGCATGTAATGTAACTCTAGTCTCTTGTCCCCTTCTGATCCTCATATTGTACACTGTGGATAGGGCATCTCTTCCATTATTCAGAAAACACAAGTTAAATACCCCGAGATGTAAAGTTGAGTATGGCCTAGCTTTATGCCTTCAGGACAGAACCTTGTAGAAAGATATACACACACGCAGGCATGCATGTACACACACACCCCTAACCATTCTCTGTGCTGTGATGGTACACAGAACAGACTACTATGAGATTTGAAGAGGCTCTGCTCTGTGCATGTCAGTATAATATTGGAATTAGGTGGGGGTTGGAGGACGGGAGTTGATGTGAGTAGGAAGTGTGAAAGGCATTCTAGGCAGACAGCAGATGAGTGAATGTGTGGCTATGGAGGCAGTCTGATTGCTGGGACACACTCATACAGCATGTAGGGTGCGGGGAACAATTCAGAGAGGATGGGAAGTGAAGGTAAATCAGATCAATTGGCTCAAAGCCTTGGAGAAGGGATTTGGTCCTCTATCCTAGAGGCAAAGAGGAACTTTGGAGAAGCTCATAGTAACTGATTGGCCAGTGGAAGAGCAATGGTCAGGGCTGCTGGAAGGAAGGCATGGAGAGAACATGAAGTCAGGTGACCATTTGGGTGCTTGGCACTGACTCAGGAGAGAACTCAGAAGATGGTCACCATGGTGGAACCCAGATAGCACCTTTGTCTTTGTATTTTCAAGACCATCACTCAGGTGCCTGGGACACAGTTTGTGTATAGTCCAAAAATGTTGAGCATAATTAGGCCAACTAAGTCTGGAAGATACAAGAGAAAGGAGAACAGGATCTCAGTTCAGCTTGGAATAATAAGTAGAGGATGTCCAGGATTGGGACTCAGGGAAAAAAAGCTGGTTTTAAAAGATGTGATTCAAATTGCTGGGGAAGGTACTCAGGAGGAGCCATGTCTAGGATGGACAGCTTGGAGAGAACTTACATCTGCCTTGTGGGCATAGATGAGCTTAGGAGAGACACTTTTTACCAGCTGTCCTTACTCTGTCTCTGTTAGAACAGCATCTTGGTGGTTCTGTTAGCCCTTCTGTCAACTTCTGTGCTAAAACTGCTTCCTCTCCATCTGTAGTCTCCTATAGGAATAGCTTATTCCAATGGGCTAGGCTCTGGCCCAGGGCTTCTACACTGCCTGGAACTGAAGATAGCTTCAGATGTGAAGTCCTTTGCCAAACCCACACAAACTGTCTCATTAGTAAAAGGAAAGCCTGCCTTCTCTAGTGGACAGCAGCTCAGTGAGAATGCAGTAGACTTAGCCAAGAAGCCCAGCCGTGACCTGGTATGAGTGACTCAGATCCCATTTCTTGGCCTTCACATGGAACCAACTGACCTCCTCTGCCACAGTAGTCAAGAGACTTGTGAGGGCATTGTTCTTAAGCCTGTCACAATTGTCATCTACACTTGCCGATATCCCTGTGGGTTGCCTACTTGTGTAGAGAAGTTCGAAGGAGAGTCAGTTTGTGCTGCTGACAAAGCTCCAACGCCTGCCTTCTTAGCCATTTGGGGGGTGAAGGATCATAACTTGAGACAGATATGCTAGGGCCAAGACCCAACATGTGTCTACTGAGAAATTATCTAAATCCAGTAATTTTAATTAAATTCAGCTAATACAATTTAGGCATTTTTTAATGGCGGTTCTTAGTGTGATGGTACTATGAACCAATATTATAAAAATTAAAGAGCAGAGTGAATATTTTTTACAAACTTTGAGCAATAAAATAGAAAAAGATGTACACAGAGAACATTGTGGTCTCACTGCGGTCACAGACTCGAGGAGGGTTAGTGTGAGAAATTGGAGTTAATTGCTGTGTTAATGTCACTTGGGTTCAATTACCCTCTGCTCTGCCGTACGCAGATACTGCATAAGCAGCTCACCCAATTGAATTCTGGCAGCTTTTGGATGCATACATGATTTCTAGGTCTTTTCCCCTGTTATTTTTTGATACACTCCACCCCCTTCAAGGCAGTTTTCCAGCTGTTCCCTCAGGGAGGAGTTTTCTGAGGAAGTTTCTTTTGTAGGCTTCCAGCTGGCTTCATTTTCACTTTCTCCCTGCGGCCGCTGCCTTTGTTGGATTTATATGATACTATCCATCATGCACTGCCTTGGGGTTTTTCTCTCTGAGTTGTTGACTTCATATTTTTGATTTGTATTTGCAGGCTCTCTCCTGGTTCGGACATCTATGTGACAGTCTCATCCATGGCTTTGGCAAGATCCCAGTGCCGAAATTCCCCCAGCAACCTGTCTTCATCCAGCGAGACCGGCTCTGGGGGTGGCACTTACAGACAGAAGTCCATGCCCGAAGGGTAGGTGCGCCATTTGTTTCATTGGGCCTGCTCTGACACCGCTTGTCCCCATGTGTGTCCACATGTGGAAAATGATGGTCATTCAGACAGTCAAGTGACACTTGAGCAGCGGGGAAGGTACAGCTAAGATCCCAGAGAGAGTGTTTTCGGTGGCTGGGTCAGATGCTTCTCAGGGGGTTGGCTGTTCTGTAATCTCTGCCTCAGCTTCAGGGAAATCAGATGGCCTCTGTTCCCCCATCATGCATACCTTTAGTTTTGCCAGAGGGATTTTGGACCCTTCTTAATAGTTCTCTCAAGTGAATGTAACAGAATAGTGCTTGCACTGGAGTTTCTATTGTTGCTGATATGGAGAAAATGATAATCACATCCCAAAGCTTGTCATGTACATGTTACTTGTCATGTAAGGTTTCTGTGTTTTGTTGTTGTTTTGTTTTTTATCTTATTTGACAGCACTAGATGCCCCAAAGCGACTCCTTCTGACAAAACTTACAAAATAGGCTGGGTGTGTAGCTCAGTGGTAGAGTGCTTGGCTGGCATATAGGAGGCCCTAGGTTCAATCAACAGCACCACCAAAAAGCAAAACAAAACTTTCAAAGTAAAACATAAAATGTATCTGATTTTAGAGACCCCTATAGGGGGACAGGGAAAGACTGGAATGTCTGAAGCTTAGAAGTAATTAGTGCCTAAGCCTGCAGAGCACACGTGGGCTGCCTTTGCCCTGAGGAAAAGAAAGAACCAGCAGGCTTCAGTGAATTTCTGTCCAGTGAACTTGGTCCACTTGAAACTTGAATGATGTGTGCATAAAAACTGAGATCTTGTTCTACATTTCCCCAAGTGTATGTTCAAATGGCCATGTGATTTGGTCACTTTCTTGAGATACCACCTTGCCTAAAGCCTAGTGTGCTGCTGTAGCTCTCATGGTGGGATTTCTCATATCTGGTTTGCCATTGGTTTTTATAGCCATTGAGTGTGATTTTGTTACCGCTACATATATATGTTAGTAGAAAGTAGGCAATAAAACCACTTAGTTCCTCTTTGTCCATCCCCGTCGTCTCCCTGAGTAGCTGGTCTGAAATGCATGTATCTTATTTTGATTATTTTAGTAACTATTAGAAAATAATTTTAGCTTTTATTCATCAGTCCCCATAGAAGGTTTATGAATCACATATTGTTGCACCCACCACAAAACACAAGCTTATTTCTTGTTTAAATTAGATTGTTAAATGGCCCCCTTTGCCTTCAAAACCAAGAAGTCAACATAACTTCATCCTTAGTATAGCACTGAAATGTAAATGAGCTAATAGAAAAATAAAACTTGTGTTCTTCCTACCGTGTGCTTTAAATGTCACCAACAAAGCAAGTGGGAGCACCATCGTTGTGGTTGGTGCTGAAAGATGAACCCCGGTTTTTGTTAACTGGGTGCTGATTATTCCAGTGGGCATGCAGTAGCTAAATCTGTACCCTAGATGATGTGGAGGGATTTGTAGGCTTCTGTGAGCTCACCTTGGATGGCAGAGCACACCAATTTTTTTTTTTTTAATACCTGGAGTGATCTTTAAGAAAATGATGATGCATTATTTTTCTCCTAGACACCAGAGCAGCTTTTCTGTACACCTGTCAGTCAAGAGATGGCGTGGTTCACTGTCTGGTGATTCATGCTGTGGCCCATGAATGAAGTTTGGTCCTGAGGTTACTCTTGCTGTCTGGTCTACAGCTTACCCCAGTTTAATAGCTGTGTCCACGTTAACCCTGAAGCTGCAGTGTGTAAGCTCTGCCGCCCCTATCGGCATTTAAGCATGCATGACATCATAGCAGTAACGTGCATGCAGTGGCTGTCTGTGGACAGTGTGCTATGCTGTTGTCCTCCCTCCACCTCAGTAGCATTTGCCTGTCCATTCCTTGGTCCTAGGATGTTGAGAATATCCAAATTAGTTGAGAGGGGAAATTGAATAGGGAGATTCATAGTACCTATATTATTTTGCTATTTGAATGGGGAGAAAAAAACACTACACAAGTTTAGACTTGGAATGACAGAGTGGACCGGGTTATAGCTCAGTGGTAGAGCTTTCAACTAACAAGTGCAAAGCCCTGGGTTCAATCCCTACCAGAGAAAGAGAGGTGAGGGGAGATTGTTCTCCCCTTCTGGGAGACATTTTGAGTCTGTCCATGAGAACTTTCTTCTAGCTGTGCCAAGTGAGGGATGAGACTTGTCTGTAGGGGCAACTGAGAGCAGGAAGTTAAAGTTACAGAGAAGAAGTTTCCAGCCTATTGTGAGGAAGGTCCTTCAGAGATGCCACCCTGCTGAAGTGGGCTGCTTGGGAGACTGAGTGCCTGCTCACTGAGCCTGTCCTCTATCAGCCAAGTGATTGCTTTAAACTGCCTTCAGATCCATAAATGTGTCGGACCATCAAGTGCTCCTCCAAACAGTGGGCAAGGAAGCTCTCCAAATCAAGGCTAAGTGTGGAATTTAGGACTTTTGTCTGAGCTCCTCAAGGACAAGATGTTCACCCCCCCTCCCCCCCCAGTTCTCTGACACTCACTAAACAGGGTAGGTGTGAGAGAATTGAAATTAAAAGTTCACTGGAAGTGTTTTTTAAGACAAAATTTAAAGAGAGCCTTGGTATTTATTTAAAAGCAGATAGAAAATGTTCTTCAAATTCACAGTTTTAAGAAGTTATCTTTAGTTTCCAATGCTGGAAAAAAAAGAAAGAGAGCGAGCTTAGAACCCATTTCTATCATGGATCTTAACACTGTTTTCACATTGCTTTCCTTCGGTGCACGTTTAGAGTGGGATCAAAGGGTCAGGGTGAGCGTTTCCCTCTAATGCACTGAGCCAGAGCCCTGCTTAGGGAGGACAGAGCAAACAGCAGGCTTGTGAATTCTTTTTTAAGTTTCCATAAATCAGGGTGTCTATCTTTAAGAGTGACTGTGTTCACATTGGGAGTCCTTTAAGATAGAGCCACTGAAGGAGTACCCCAGTTGCCTCACCCTGTGTCCATGTTCAGCATGGAAGAAGCCAGAGCGGCCACCATCCTGATTCCCTATTGGCAATTTGGGTAACCCCTTCAGAGGATGGTGTGATAAGAATAGGAGGTAGGAATTGGCTAGGCAGTTAGGATAAAAAGACCCCAAAGAAAAGTAGCCAGTTTCTTGGCTATAACTCACAATGTCCTTGGGCCTCTTAACAACCATTCCAAAGGCCAAAAATGTCAAAAATATTTGGGAGCTTTTATCTAATCCTTAACAGATTTTAGGGTTACCCCTTCAAAAGGGTTCGAATGTTAGAGTAGCCAAAAGCCCTGTTTAAATTTAAAAAAAAAAAAAATCAAAGAGTGCTTATGTTCATGTGCAAGGTGGTGTTGCTCAGTAAGCCATGTGAAAGGGCATCCCACTGAGTGGCATTTGCCACAGCAACTGGAAAGATGATTTCATAAATATTTTACCACAGTAAATACTTGCTTTCTCTACACATCTTTTGCATAAATTTTCCTCCTTGGAGACTTTTAATAGAGTTGCCATGTTGCATATAAAGAGATTGAGACAAAGCTCAGGGATTTTGTTCAGTCCACTGGCTGGTGAATTTGAACTTGACTCCATGTCTTCCTGCCGCCAGTGTCCCACCCTACCCGATATGGCTTTTGCAAGTCCTGTCCATGTATCACTTTATAGCAAGTAAGGCACCCAGTGCATGTATCAGTTGATGTAGCCTCTACTTAGGCCTATGTTACATTGTAAGTTCCTCAGAAGTTCATGGGTAACCACACAAAAATTGAATATTTGAGTTCTATACTTTGACTCTCCTTCTGGGCTCAGTATTCAGTTTGCTGATGTTGATGGGACATATGATTTAATTAAGCACAGTACTATTTTTCCCAGGGAAAAGTCAAACTGGCTCTCTAAATAGCTGCATTTCTTTCCAAAAACACACATTGACGTTTACACATACCAGCTTAGCCACTTCCAAATTGCCCTCCCAACAACAGTTTAAGATGTAAACACTTAGAAAATAGTTTCCACATAATATGAGTGATAACAGTCTCTGTGTTTCAGACCACAGAGCAAGTGCTCAGAGTACTTGATCTGACAATGACTTAGTGATTTATTGCATCACTGAGTTAAGAGAAACAGATCCCCAAATGTGCTGTTTGGAAGATGTGTGTGAGTGATGTATAGTCCTTTGGCCATAGAGGAGTCTGGACTTGACAACTATGGAAGCAGATACATGTGTGTTTCGTATTCGACATGCCTCACATTAGTAAGCTCTTTGCCCTAGTTAACAGTTGATGTCAACAGCACGCATATTCTTTTGAGAGAAATGTGTGTTGACCACACCCATGGACAAGAATGTGTCTATGTGCACCAACATGTAAGCAGAAACTGGTAATACCTGTCATTACAGTCAAGTTCATTACACCCAGGACTCCCTTCACCTTGTGGGTGAGGATTCTGATGCTGCCTTGCCTTTGTTTGGGGAATTGCCACAGGTTTGGCGTGAGCCGCAGATCCCCAGCCTCCATCGACAGGCAGAACACCCAGTCAGATATTGGTGGCAGTGGAAAGTCCACCCCCAGCTGGCAAAGAAGTGAGGAAAGCATCGCCGACCAGATGGGTAAGTGAGTGATTTATATGCAAGTGCTTTGAGGAGTGAGTGGTTTTGACCACCTCTTGATGTCATTGAAGCATTGTATTATAAGGGACAGCCTCAGTGTGCATTGGAATTAAGTCTCTCTGGACTGTGTACACATGAAAGCAACAGATAAGACCCAGGAACTTCAACACAGAAAGACCCAGGATTATTTTGAAATACTAGCCTGATGAACTTGTTGTATCCTAAGTACCTTCTTCCCTGCCTGCTTGCTTGCTTGGTTAGTTGGTTTTGCCTAGTGCCTGGAGAGATTCGTGTGTGTGTGTGTGCGCGCGTGCGTGCATGCGTGCGTGTGTCACTGTGTAGCCTTCACTGGCCTGGGACTCACTGTGCAGACCAGGCTGGCCTCAGACAGATCCACCTGCCTCTGCCTCCCAAGTACTGGGACTCAAGGCACAGTGTGCCACCACCCTCAGCTCCTTGTTATTCTTAATCTTGAATTTTAAGGAAAAATAAATCTATGTACAAGGTGGGAAGGACTGAATTATTGTTTGGCTGCCTCTGTACTGTGGTTAGAAGCTCTCTCCTGCCCCATGTGCGGTTTTCATACTGTTTTGTTTTTCATTCTTTCCACTCCACTGTTAGGCTGTCAGCTAAGGAACTGTCTTCACAGTATAAAAGGCAAGATCAAAAAGATCTGCAGTAGAAGGTCCTCCAATGAAATTTTTGCCATGAAACAGGATTATATTTCAACACAGTTACATCAAGTCTTTGGTGTCAGTACCATTCATACATCAAGGACTTGATTGCAGACTGTTGGCTTGGGTCCCCCTGCTCCCTCCTCCTTGGCCTCATGCTCCATTTCTTCCGCCTGAAAGTATTATCATCAATATGATTTACAGTTTATGGCTGAAATAAACTTGTAAGGCAAAGAAGTCCCCTCTTTTAATATTTTCTGCAGCTTGATGGTTTTGTCCTGTTTACATGACCATACCCATGTAAATGTACTAACCATGAACCCAGAAGGGAGTGAGGTGTATTCAGCTGAGACAGATGTTAAGGAAGAGAAATGTAATTCTTAGGTCCTGAAGACGTGCTTTGTTCCAGAAACTTCAGTGTGATGTGCCTTGTTACTGAAACCATCTGTCACTCCCTACTCTTACCCCACCTACCCTCAACCCAGAAAACCTGAGCATATTCTGTCTGCTTTCCTGCTCTTGACAGAATGTCTTATGTCTTTAATCCCATATGTTTTTGTACCGTTGGGATGATAACGACACATGTGAGCGGACTCCTCGGCAGCATGACTGCTGCGGCTGTTTCTGGCTCCTAGCACAGGCTCTGAGCAAGGCTACAGTAAGCCCCCTTTGTACACACAGTGTCATGCTTGTACTCCTGGGGAGTCACATGAAGAATCAAAGGTACCCAGGGACTAGAAAGGATAGTTAAATGGCTCATCCTAAACCAGTGTTCATTCCCAAACAGAAACCACCATCTAGCCTTTTTCTGCCTGATTCCACTTCAGGTTAGATGCAGTGTGAATACGGATGTATCTCCTTAACACTTCACCTTTTAAGTAAGGTATAGGCTTAAGTGATGATAGTAAGAGAGCTAACCTGGGAAGACTTTACCATTCTATGGGAAGTCTAAGTGGTGGCTTTTCTTCGCTTGAGACCTAAAGCTTGCAATACTGTGTTAAAATACATTATTAGTTGGACATGGTAGCTCATGCCTATAATGCCAGAATGGGGGTGGTGGGGGAGGGCACTGAGTCAGGAGAATTGCACCAGTTCAAGGCAATCCTGAACTACATAGTAAGTTCTCAGCCACTGTAGGCTACAGAGTGAGACCTTGTCTCAAAGCACTAAAGTATATTTTTATAATTTTGGAGATTCCTGCATTTCAGGAGAGTAAGTCAGCCTTTCCTGATTGACGCTTCAGAATGGATCCAAGTTTTGGTTGGTGTCCAGGCTACCTAGCTTTTTGGCATTACAATATGACTTTGTTATTTATAGAGTTCACACTTGAGAACAACATAGCAAAATGCCATTATATTTTAAGTAAGCTACAATTTTGTTTTGGGTGCATCCATAGCTGCCCTCAGCTGCGCATGGTTTGTAGGCCATAGGTTGAACGTGCCTGGAAACCATCCTAGGAAAAATAATTCTTAGATTTTCATGGCTCGGTGTGATACATAGAGAGCTGACCTTCCCATACCTGATGTTGTAGGAACCCATTTCTCTAATGGCTTGTGCTGTCCCGAGTGTGGAGGAAGCTGACAGGCTCATCCGTCTCTGTCCACCAATGTGTTGTAAACTGGTTTGCCCTGACAGTGCAGGTGGGCTCAGCTTGATCCTGGCCTTCCTCGTGTCCATGGACATTTGTTTATGCCTCTCTACTCCTGGAAATGGTGGCGAGTCAGGCTCCAGGTGCAGGCTGCCTAGTCCTCTGCTGTCACGAAGGGTGTTGGAGAAGTCCTGCTGTTAGTTCTAGGTGTGTTAGGGATAAATCACTTACCTCTTGTTTTTTGGATCCCCATCTTGAACACCAGTGTGGTGTCCTAAAGGAAGCGATTGTTTGAAGTAAACTAGTTGCTGTGTGTCTTTTCTGTTGTGCTTAGCTTACAGTCATAGAGGACCTCAGGATTTCAATTCTTTTGTCCTCGAGCAGCATGAATATACAGGTAAAATGTTTCCAAAGTGTCACGGTAAGTAACACGTGATTGCATCCGTGCCTGTCTAGGGAATGTAGACTGAGCAAGGTTAGCCACACTTTGCAGTGAATGAACTTCATAAATTTAATCCATGTATTCTCAACTTCCCCCCAAACCAACAGTTGATTCTGAACTTTGCTGCATTGTTCATGGCCTTTGGTTCGGTGGCACTTGGCTATGCTAGTGTGTATGATGTGACATGTTGTCACCAGCTACAAGCTTTATCCATCAGCCACCTAGTTTCTGACATGCTGTCTCTTGCATAGACTCTAACAAGCTTGCTGCTGAAACTATAGAGTTGGCTGGTCAGTGAACTGAGCGATGCAGTGGCAAGCCGTCTTTGTGTGTCAGTTGTGCTTGTATCTGTTTAGTGCCTGCACCATAATGTCCTGTACTGTATTCCAGAGCCTACATGCCATCTCCCAGCAGTATCAAAGGTGCTGCCTGCTTTCCGAGAGAGCCCCAGCGGGAGATTAATGCGGCAGGATCCAGTGGTTCACTTGTCTCCAAACAAACAAGGGCATGTAAGTTAACTGTAAACTGAAAGAAATAACTGGTTCCCAGCAATGTGTCTTCCTGCATTGGGAAAACAGGACCCAGCTGCTCTACCCTGTGTGACCAAAGGCAAGGCATCCTACAGGAGGGGTATGTTTGTTGCCATGGTTGGTTTCTGCAGCCCAGCCTCTGTGGTGCTCTGAGGTAAACTATAATCTGAGATGTAGATCCTGACACCCCACAGGTCTGAAGGGAAAGTTCTCTGGTTCAGTCAGAAACATTCCTAAAATGTTAGGACTAGAAATGTACTAGAAAGAGATTTTATTACCTCCATAGTTGGAAGCATGAGTGAGTGAGGTCTGCTCGGAGCATGGGTTAAAGGGGTGGGCATGTAGTTCCCTGACCACTGCCCTAGCCTTTTTTCTGTCCACCATGACAACACATTGTCCTTTTATGTAATTACATGGTTTCTTATTGTTTACGGGTACAAACAGTATTTTAAAAGTGTGCCTCCTTCCTCCTTTGAACACACTCAGTTTCTCTTGTCTCCCCACTGAAGGTGTATGTATGTTCATGTCATGGTTAGGATGGAGAAACTCCATTTCATGTTCACTGATTTACAAGATGCTCAGAGAACTTTAAGAAGGCTCTTGGGAGTTGCTTCTAGAGATATGAATATTGAATCTAAAGGACAAGTGAGTCTGAGCATCGTCTCCCTTGCTCTGTGGATTTACTGGGTACCGTGTTGTTACCATAACTTCCCTCTACATGATAGATTTTCTTGCTCATTCATAGTGTTTATACTGATACATAATAAAACAATTTTATGATCACATTGGATTAGCTCAAGTGTATTATTTAAATAAATTTCACCTATTTCTTTTTACTTTCTGGCTACTAGAAAATTTTAAATTACCTTTCAACTCAGTGTCATTTAGGAAAGGAGCATTTAAACTCATTGGCCACCTGTGGCTGGGGCTCCATGATGGCAGCACATGAGCAAAGCTAAAGAAGTTCTGCCCAGTGGAAAAAAGGTCCCCAGCACTCTGGAGGCAGGACTGGGAGGATCACTGGTTCCGGGCCAGCCTGGGCCACATAGCAAGACAGTCTCAAAAAACCCATTCATAACAGTAGTTGATACTGAGAAAAGTTAGTTATACCAATACAATGATGGGTTGACTCTTTCTTAACATGAGGGATGTTTCACCTTGCGTTGAAACAGGGGTCCTGTCCTGCCCTGGCCTCGGCCAATAAAGCGCATGTTCCTTCCTCCCTCATTTAAATACCATCATATGGGCTGAGGCTATTACTCAATGGTAGAGCATTTGCCTAGTATGTGCAAGGCCCTGAGTTCAATTTCCAACTCCATCAGAGCAATAAAGAAGAAAATAAAATTTCATTCATATATTTAAAACCTTAGTTCTTTGATGAATTCTATAAATGTTCTTTCTATGCATCTCAGCCACTCTGAACATAACTTGATTGAGCTGTGATTCACATACCATAATAACGTTCACCTGATTAAAGAGTACAGTTTCGTGATTTTTAATATATTCCACGAGTGGTCAAGAGATGGCTCAACAGGTAAAAGCACTTGCCCACCGTGACAACCTGAATTCCATCTTCAGGACCCACACAGGGGAAGACGGGAACTGATACCAGCAAATTGTGCTTGGTTTCCACATGCTCACTGTGGCGTGTGCACGCACACACACACACACGAATGAATAAATAAATGTAATTTTGATATTTTATTAAAATAGTTATGTCAACACCGTGATCTAAATCCAGACCGTTTGATTATCGTGAAGGCCTGTGTCCTTTAGCAGTCACATCCAGCACTTCCCATCTGTTCCGAGATCCAAAGACTCAGGAATCCCCTTTCTGTGTAGATGTGCCTGTTCTTGGCACTGCATACGACTGATCCTGTGACGTGTGGCCTTCTGTGTCTGACTTCTTCCGCTGAACATGGTTTAAAACTCATCTTTGTTGTGGTTGCATCTTGCTTCCTTCCTTTCTGTGACTGAATAATATTCCATGGATAGTTATCTATCCTATTTTGTAATCTAGTCATGAGGTGATAGTCACTTGGCTTGTGTCTGCTTTTTGGCTATATGATTAATGTTCACATGCATGGTTTTGGGTGAGCATACATTTCAGTTTCTCTTCAACATAACTAAGAATGGAATTGCGGCTGTTTTCTGTAGCCCCTGCTGCATTTCATCCCCATCCCCAACACTGCACCACTCTTGCCTGCCGTTGTGCTTGTGGGCATTCTGGTGAATGTGAGGGGTCCTCTCACTGCACTTTTGATTTGTGTCTCCCTCTGACCAGTGATAGATACTGAGCTTCTTCTCCTGTGGTTGTTGATATTTATGTGTCTTCCTTGGAGAAACCCCTGTTCGAATGTTTGGCCATTTTTGTTGGGTTATTTGAAACACAAAAAGTTGTAGTGTGATAAAATCAATTAATATGGGGTTATTTTTCTTCTATTTCTTGTGCTTTTGATGTACTAAGAAACCATTATATAACCCATGATCACAAAGACATGTATAAGCTTTTACTATAAGGTATTTGAAAATGGATTTTTCTGTACAGTAAGGATGAAGCTTCATTGTTTTTCACATGTGAAAGTTCAGTTGTCTCAGTGTCATTGATAGGACCAATTTTCCCCCATGGAATTATCTTGGCACCTCTGTGTAAATCTTATTTCTCAGCACTCCTTAGTAACTTGCCTCCTAAGTAGCTGATAATTGGGGAAGAACAGCAGAGTCTCGGGCTTAATATGTCTTATAGTGCACCGTCTAGCTTCTCTGACTATGGCTTTTGGAGTCAGGCACACTTTCTAATTATAAGCCCTTTGGAAATGTCATTTCCTTTCTATGTTAAGATATTAAAGATGCCAGTGACAGCTTTTATATTTTTTTTTTCTTGGTTAAAGTGTTCGCTGTGCCGTCGTATTGGCATGTTAACATAAGTCAAATAATGGAAAATGAATTCTTAGAGAACACAGAACACATGTCCTGCCCTCTGCCATGGACACTGCAGAATAGATCAGCCAGTCTTCGTGCTTTTCCCAGGCATCCCAGGCATCGGAACTTCTGTGCTTTTAGACTCTGTAACTAGACCATGTGCCAGAGTGCTGCTCCGGATGTTCGTTCTTGGTGTTCAGGAAGCAGTCCTTGCCTGTAAGTAACTCTGCTTCCCTTGCAGTCTGATAGCCACTACTCCAGCCACTCAAGCAGCAACACCCTCTCCAGCAACGCCTCGAGTGTGCACAGTGACGACAAGTGGTACGACGGGGATCGCACGGAATCAGAGCTCAACAGCTATAACTACCTGCAGGGCACCTCTGCTGACAGTGGTATCGACACCACCTCCTATGGCCCTAGCCATGGCAGCACAGCCTCCCTGGGGGCCGCCTCGTCCCCTCGCTCGGGGCCAGGCAAGGAGAAGGTGGCACCCCTGTGGCACAGCTCCAGCGAAGTGCTCTCCCTGGCAGATCGGACTTTAGAGACCGAGAGCCACGGCATGGACCGGAAAACAGAGTCCTCCCTGAGCCTGGACATCCATAGCAAGAGCCAGGCTGGCTCCAGCCCGCTGACCAGGGAGAACAGCACCTTCAGCATAAATGAGGTGGCATCTCACACCAGGTAACTGTTCTGAGCCTCTGCCTGCCCTGCCCCGCTGCCTGCCTTGTCCCATAGGTTGCAACCCTCTTCCCACGTCAGTGTGCACAGGATGCATACTGTGTTTTATGTACATCTATTTTAAAACTCTGTATTTTTACATATTTTACACCATTTATTGGCCAGCATAATAGATTAGCAATCCTAATGTATTATTTTAAACTGGGAGAAAATTTTGCAGATTTATTCATTGTAAAGTTAAATTTTTTTTTTTTTAATTTTGCTAACTGCATTTCAGAATTAGGAATTTTCTAATTTTAGTTTTCAGCATTGATAGATGGGAATTTAGAGTGCAACAGACTTTTGAAAATACTTAAAAGTCTTGATTATTTTTACAAAAGGCTCTTTGCTAAGACCCCACAGCCTTTCGCATGATGCCAGCACAACTTTCCTCTGCCTCACTCACTAGACCATCACTTACCCCGCGTTTACACTGTAGCTTTTTTCAGCATTTGGCTCCTGATTGAATCATCAAGGGTAGCGATGTCTATCAGAAAAGCATAGCTAAAGCTCCACACACCTCTTCCACCTTTCAGAACTGCAAGCGCACATTCCCATGTCCTTGATCATTGCTCCATTAAGAAAAATAATTACTTTTTTCATTTCCTTAAAATCCAAAGTGTGATAGGACTCCTGTCCTGGGGAGGAAGCAATGCCTGGCTGTCCTAGGTCCCTGCATCTCTGGCTGTTTCTCCCTTTACATCTCACTATTGTCAGTCACTGGTCAACTTGTGTGACCATCTCTCTAACTCCACAGAAAAATAGCAGAGAAACTTACCTTCCAATTTTTCCAAATGAGAAGCCGTGTATATAATCCTGGTAAGCTCCCAATCACCCTAATGGGAGAAGACATCTTCTAGTTAGTTCCCGCCTAGTTTAATATGCAGCCTTCTCACTGTGTCTCATTCTTGCTGAAAAGTTTGTAAGTTTCCCTCCTTCAAATTCTAGGCTGTATAGAAGGAAGCATTTCACAAGTTGTATTTCTGTCTGCCATTCCCACACTCCAGATTTTAAAAGGATTGTGATGGTCTGGAAACTCTGTGGCCCTCAAGCAGAAATAAACTTGAGAAAGTGGCCTCAGGATTTTGAATAGCTAGCTTCCTGTTGTCCTTCCTCCGTTCAGGAAGTAGAGTATTTGTCTCATCTCGGGCAAGGGATGTGCAAAACAGCCAGGCATGGTGACACATGCCTTTGAACCCAGCAGAGGCAGAAGCAGGCAGATCTCTGTGAGATCGTGGCCAGTCTGGTCTACATAGAGAGTTCTAGGACAGCTGGGGTTGCAGGGAGACCCTGTCTTAAAAAACAAAAAGCAAAACAGAAAGCTGGACATTGTATGCCACCGGAAGCATAGACAGACCCACATGCCACATGGCAGAATTACCATGCATGCTGTTTCTGGTGTGTCCATCCATCTTGTTAACCATATAGACTGTGCCCACCTTGAACATTTTTCAGATCATATTGGCTTCTCTGTAGTTTCTAGAAACCTGGACTGAAGAGAGAACTCCGGTGTGATGTAAATCAGAAATTCGAAAGGGATTATCCAAAGTGGATAATCCAGTGTGGTCATGGGGCAAGATTGGAAAGGCCAGGCCCTGGCACTAAACCACACTACACTGTAGCCTTGCCACTGCCAAGTTCTGGGATCTACAACTGAAAGCAGGCACCTGGGTCTTCATTGTCCAAGTGTGCTGACCAGAGCTGCCACAGCCTCAGAAAGGATTATCTAGATTTTGTGCCTCGGATAGGCTCATGTGGAGTCACTGAAGTCATTGCATAGAAATATCTCCTCTATTGGAAGTCAGACTTACTAGAGAAGAATGCGGCCTTTCAGGAGGGTGGCAGGGCTTCCCACCCACCGGAGGCTTGAGTCACACTGGTTTCTAGACTCTGGTAAACAGGCTTGCTTTGCACTTCAGTCTGTTGGTCTTGGCAGAGTGAGTTGGATAATCAGAGCTTTAATAACCTCCCTTTTCTGGAAGAAAAGGGGACTTAGCCACCAAATCTACATTGCTAAAATCACAGCAAATTAGAGTGTTTGTGTCCTCAGAAGACAGGAACAGCAATTAATGTGAAGATCTCTTGACAGTGCATAAAAGAGCTTGTACCTGGAACTTGGTGACAAAAATCTAAATTGCAGTGATTAAGTTCCCTTGCATATTTCTGGCTGGGCTGGGCCTTCTCCCCTCTGTCCTCCAGTCTCCCTATTGATGGTTGTGCAGGGTTTTTGTGACACTCTCCCCCTCTTAAGAACTGCATTAATGCAGGTTGGTAATTACAGAGGGTTGTTATATTTGAATGTCATTAAGAGAAGCCATTCCTGCAGATAACTTGCTGCAGTTGCAAAAGCCTGTTAATTTAAAGCATTGCGAGAGTGAAAGCCTGCTAACTTTTCATGTTTACTTTTTGATAATGGCTTTGTCCCTTGGTGAGCATAAGAAAGGTGAAGATAGCTCTAATTTTAGTGCATTCTTACTAGCCGGAATCTTTATTTTCTTAAGCATTCTGGCCTTGGCAGTGGGCAAGTATACAGAGCACCCCCTCAGCTTAATAGAAACTGTAACATAAAGACCCCTCTCAGTTAACATAAAATGTTCTAGTCCTGCTGGCCTTGGGGATGCCGAGTGCTAGAACTAGACTTGAGCCCCGCCCTTACATAAAGCTACATAGTCCACACCATACATGTACATAATACACCTGTGTTAGTCAGACTTTTGTAACTGTGACAAAATACCTGACACAAACAACTCACCGGAGGAAAGGTTCATCCATAGTTTCAAAGGTTTTAATCCAAGCTGGGCTGGATCTGTCGTTTTGGGATGAGGTGAAACAACATCATGGAAGCAGGAATGAAGGAAAGACTGCTCACCCCACGGTAGCCAGGAAGTGGGGAGGCAAATAAAGAGGGGCACCAAGAGCACACCCTCAGTAAGCTGTTTACCAACTAGGCCCCACCCCCAGTTTTCATCACCTCCCAATCTTGCCTTTATAGGGGCTGGAGAAATGGCTCAGTGGTTGTGAGCACTGGCTCAGTTCCCAGCACCCACATAGCAGCTAACACCTGTCGGTAACTCCAGTTCCAGGGGATCTGCCACCTTCTTCAGGCCTCTGAGAGTATTTATATACATGAAGGCGAAACAGCCATGCACTTAAAAATAAATGAATTAAAAATAATAACGCCTTTATAAGTCCACCGTGGATCACTCACTCCACTATCAGGTCAGTGCCTTCATGATTCAGTCCCCTCTGAGTGATTGGTCAGCAAGCCTTTGATGCGTCAGCCTTTCAGGATACTTCACACTGAACTCACATTTTTCTCTGTAACATGCCAACCTGGCTTGTGTTGGTACCCAGACCTTTTCAGCCACTCTACTTGCCTCAGAACTCTTCCTTTGCCCCCTGAGAGCCTAAAGCCAGTGGATACCCACTTAAGCCAGTCACATACTCATTTTACTATCACCTAGTACATACCCTAAACACCTGTGCTCATGGGGTCACTCAGGATCAGCAGGTGCTCCTAACCTCAACTCGTGACTGTTCAAGAAAACAGTACATTTCAAAACTTGATATACGGACACACCTGCTTTCCTGTATGGGGTTGGTATTTAAGTGTATTAATACTTAAAGGCCTCGTTTGTATAGCATGAACTTTTAGGAAGTTATTTCTCTACAAAAATTCTAGAAATCTTTAAAATGTAATAAAGGGAGGGACTTCATAACACTTTACATGCTGCTGTCAGCCAGAACCTGTATAGTGGTCTCTAAAGCATCTTCTGCATCACTCATTCCCTGGACTGTGTGTATACGACTTTGGCCCACCCAGTTCTTGGGAAGAGTAGCTCTCTTTCCTGCAATCACTTGGATTTCCTCCTGCCAGCTTAGTCATCGGACTCCACATTGGTTTTCCCCCAGTGCTTTGGAATTAGTGTCTCCTGAAGCCCTCCAGAATTGTGGGCTTAGTAGTGGATGTGGTAGAGAATTGGCCAGCACTGAACAGTGGGAGGAGTCCTGCTTAATCACTATCCTCCGCATTATCTGTCACCCAAAGTCTTGTTATTTGTTGAAGCAGTCACAGGAAACCCTATCAGACCCCCTCCCCTTGGTATGGAGCCATTATTCAGCCTTTGCCCAGACTTTGCCACAGCCATTTGGCAGGTGACTAATTGTTGCTTTTCCCCCTTTGGGGAAATATCATCCTTACTAGGTCAGGCCTGCCTGAGACTCATGCCCTCATATCATGCCTGAATAGTAGATGGTTCTCAGCACCCCTCTGGCAGCTTCCAGCAGCAGACAGTGAGCAGCAGCTGTTGATGCACGGGGAGGAGTAGTCTCTGCAGTGATGCAGACATTCAGAACAGCTTCCCCAGCCCTCAAAGGTTTGGTACATGGAACTTTGGTGACACCTGTGCTCCCCCATCCCTGGTGACTCATCTGTTTGCAGAGTCAGTAGACAGATGCAAGCAGCGCCCACCATGAATAGTGTCCTTTCTGCAGGCAGCCAGTCCCTTCTGTAGAGTTCTCCACAAGGCACTCGCAAAATACCCAGGCTGCACCACATTTGCCAGTGGCCTCTGTTGAGGCTCCTTTGAGTCAAGATGAGAAGTCTGGACTGGTTCGGACTGGCTCAGACTCTCAGCTACCCTGTTGCCCCTTCTCGTTTTGTGTGTAGTAATATATGTACATCCTCAAAATATTTGTCCTGACATGGCCAAGGTCCAAAGTTATTCCATATTTAGGAAAGGGAGAGTTGATGTGAAAATGGAAGCTGTGGTCTCTCACAGACTCTAGGAACATCCTGACTGAATTCTCAGTGATCGGTTTGTCCATGCTCGCAGGTAAATGCACTTCATACAGTGAGAAAAGTAAGAGATACCACATGTGTCACCTCCAGTGTGCCTACTTCCTCCTCTTCTTCCTTAGTCCTGGCTTATTACCTTTTTACACAATTCTTAGAATGGATTTAG